AGATCCCATCGTTTGAGGATGCAAAATAATTGTGTAACAGATAAACTCAGAAAAGCAATTTGAACTCAAAGTTCAAAAGCTTGAAATTCCCGAGTATATCTGAGGTGCATTTACATAAATGACCAAAAAGGAGTAAATATAAAAAAAAATTTCCTTACCACGAGACTGTAGGTTAAAATACACACACATCTATACAGTGTGAATAAAATATTGGAGGATTTTTGTTGAATGTTTTGATTGCAGTGTTACATCTGAAGAACTCTGTAAAAATCAAATTTATTAAAATCCTAGTTTCTCTTTGAATTGTACTATTCAAAGAGAAATACACATTATTTTCAAATTGTACTTAGCTTTACTAAGATTTTTTGAAAGCAAGAAAAAAAAAAAAAAACATTAAAAAACCCCCACAACCCCACATTTCTGTGATAAATAAGGATATTACAGGTTAAATGACCCTGGTTTCCATTCTGCCATTCATCAAAAAGTTGTAAGTAAAAGGATGGAATTTAAGGAGGTTAAAAAAAAAAAAAGTCTTTAAACTAAACAGAACATAAACCCGGTACCCACCCATCACATGCAATCAGCTTTGTTACAAGTATTTAATACTATGAGAAGGCTTTGAAAATCATAGTTCTCCAAAATAAAACAAATCACTTATTTCTGATACAACAGACCTAAAGGAAAACCACCTGTATTTATCATGTTCAGAACCCTGTACCATAAAGGGTACAACCTCTATTCCGAGGCAGTTAACATTATGTATTCCAAAGCAGGAAAAGTATTAAAATAATCACAAATTGGAGCCTGGATCTCTTGGAATTATTCTTTTTTCCCCCCTCTAGTTTCTTGAAGTTGAAAGGGTTCTGACAACAATCAAGGTAAAATTCAGGAAAACTGTTTGCAACTGTGTTTTTTTTCCCCCACCCCCTGTATTTGTAGTATAACATTGACAGTCTTCAAACAATTAGGTTTTGCAATTTTTTTTTTTACAATAAATTATGTATTACTGGGGGGTTTTTTAACTACCTTTACTACAATTATGGTACGCTGTTTTTGCAACAAGGTGAAAGTTTATACCAGGATGCAACATATTGCTTTGAGTGTTACTCTTTTTAACTGTCAGCACCAAAGAAACTATTATTTATGAGCCAGCCAACTCAGGATGAACAGAATTTCAGCTGAAGCATTTTGCAACAAATAGATTGAAAATGTAGACTATTTCAATGACTGACATGCATTTTTGCAGGCTATTTAACAATTGACTCCTATGCATTTAATCTCATTATAGGGTTGATTTTAAAAACAAACAAACCCACACAAAAATAAAATCCCAAAATGATGAGGAGAAAACCAGGGGCTGGGAGGGGAGAAAAATCAGATATAGAAAATATTTTTCCATAGACTGGCCTAAATACCTTTACACAAATGTAAAAATATTAAGAGATGTGAATTAAGAAAAGAGGCCCATCTCACGTTATTTTCAAAGTCACATGAACCAAATCAGTTTAGATTAGCAAAACAACAGAATCGGACCCATTAAGGAATAAGCAGGCATCCTGCAGACTTGTTACTGCTGAACAAGTAGACATGCAAACATAAAAAGCCACCTGATAGTAACCCAGGCTCCCATTCATGGACAGAAAAATCAAGGTAAAAAAAAAAAAACAAACAAACAACTAAGCATTTTTTCAAATACCAGCCTTACAAAACCACTGATGTGAGCTGGTTGAACTAGAGACAAAAAAACCTTCTTTCCCAAGAACAGAGGTGGAAAGGTTCTCACAAGACACCAGGCAGTAAGTAAAGTGCTATTTCAAGAACAACAATCTCTTTTTCCTGTAGGCTAGGAAAAGTGTATTAACCCACATGTCTAAAATTTTCAAGAATTTTCCTTGTGGCACACCCACACTATCTCTTGTTTATACATGAAGAGTACCCAATAAAATTGTTGTAAGGCCAATAAAATTACCCTCTAAGTCTAGTTGTGAATAACTCTAAACATATGACAAAAGAAGAATCAGCATGTTTTGTTTTAAACACAAGCTGTCCTCACAACAGGTTGGAGTCTGGCCTTTCAAAACCCTTGCTGCTGCTTCTCAGGTCACTGGGGCTTAAACAATACTGACAAAACTCACACACACACGCACACACACAGATGCACACACATATTAAAGTAATTAGTCATTCACAAATAATACTCCCTGGCACAACATAAACAACCTGTAACTGCATCATCTGATAAGCACATGACTCAATATGTCATTTCTATTTTATTTCCATGACATTAATGTACTACAGTTCTTGGTAAGATATGGTATAATCCATACATTGTACCACTTTACATATTAGCACTGTCAAATGTATTCCATGACAGCTCCTTTCACTACATTCTTATTACTATTTTAAAATCTTTCGGTTACTTATTTCACATCAGTAATTTTTCTCCCATAATCTAATTAATGTGCCCAGTAAGACCTAGTAGTTACTGTAAAAAGTACAGCTGCATGAAGCATGAGTTCACACTGTGGACTACAGTTTTATACAGTCTTCAAAAACTGTTTGAATTATATTAGCAATAATGCTTATAAAACAGAGAACTTGCTCAGAAGTGCACAAGTTCACTAAGAAACAGGGATAACCAGCAGATCAGATGCTGCACGAATAGAAGTACACTGCAGCTGCAGTCGTGTCTCTGTGCAGAGCTACACTGGGCCACACGGAGCAAGAGGCAGAACGCACCTACCTGTACTAACATGCAAAGGTACCTACCCAGGAGAGGCAGGTTATCGAGGGTCCCTTTGTGATCAGTGGAGAAACCGAGAAGAATCATATTCTGCATGTCTCTCTCTTTGACTTCAGAGACCCTAAACATCTAACTTGAACAAGAAGCTTGAATTTGGCAGACCCACCAAAAAGATTCCCACTTCAGGAGTGTGAATAAATGAGAAAAAAGAACTAGGTAAAATCAGAAATACCGAAATAAAAGCAAATCCACTATTATGAATATTAAAATGCAATTCTAAAATACTCAAAAGCTTTTTTTTTTCCTCCTTTAAGGGACCTTTTGAATCTTTCATTCCTTTCCTAATTTGTGCAAGTTATTTCCTGCCCCTACCTCTATCCTTTTTCATGGGGGGAAAAAAGAAACAGAAATTCCTTCCCTTCTACCCTGCCTTTTTCTCCAACAGCATCTATGGCAATCCCTCTGATGCATGTTACATCATTGCTTTTTAAACAGAATTCTCAAGTTACTTCATTAGGTATATCTGTACCAAAATTTGTGGCATATTAAGACTGAAACATGTTTCAAGTCCTGCATCAGCACTGCAGAATTCTTATTCCGATACTGAATGGTGTTATGAATAACTGTGTCAAATCTGTTATCGTATTAGCATGCCTGTCAAGCTTCTTTTCTTTCAAAGTGTTTCTTTTCCTTGTTTGTTAAGACAAATTTGCTGAGATTAGACAAGCTTAAATACCCAAATTCACAAAGCAATCCCCATAAGTATCCTTAACATAATGGAGTCTCATCAGTAGATTTTTCTGGAACTACACTCACAGATTTATTAATTCCCACACACAGCTGTTGTTTAAAAGGTCTTCAAAGGGCCTGTTTACTAAAACAAGTGCCAATTGTGTTTTCAGTTGCACTCAAACTGCCTGCAATACGGGGCAACCATGCTAAAGGAGAACACCACTTCTGACAACTGAAGTTTGAAGTACTGTAAACAAATTGATAGAAAGCACCAGAAGGTTTACACCATAGTGTCAGCATTTCTTCCTCTGACTGTGCTACTCTGAATATGCAAGTAAAGCTAACAATATTTTTTAAAAAAACAACAGTATCCTACAGTAACAATATAAAAGGTTAACATACATTATAAATCTATCTTAAGAGTTTTACAACACACTTCATCACACTGGTGATGAAGCTGAGCACCTTCCTATAAATAGGTAAAACATCAACTAGTGATCTTGGACAAAGCCTGAATTTCCTCTAATACTAAATGTAACAACATTACAAAGTTTTGTCACAGACTTCTATGAGGCCAGTATTTCAACTCCTCACTTTTTTTCTCATATTAAAAGTCTACATTATAGTTGCTGTTGCAAGTGTTTCAAGAAAAAGGTTTTCAGCCCCACCTGGAATACTACATCCAGTTCTGGAGTTCCCAACACAAGAAAGACATGAACCTGTTAGAACGAGTCCAGAAGGGGCCACGAGAATGATCCGAGAGCTGGAGCACCTCTCCTATGAGGACAGGCTGAGAGATTTGGGGCTGTTCAGCCTGGAGAAGAGAAGGCTCCGGGGAGATCTTATAGCAGCCTTCCAATACCTGAAGGGGCCTACAAGAAAGCTGGGGAGGGACTTTTTACAAGAGCAGGTAGTGACAGGACGAGGGGAAATGGCTTTAAACTGGAAGAGGGTAGGTTTAGATTAGATATTAGGAAGAAATTCTTTTTTGTGAGGGTGGTCAGACACTGGAACAGGTTGCCCAAGGAAGCTGTGGATGCCCCCTCCCTGGAAGTGTACAAAGCCAGGTTGGATGAGGCTTTGAGCAACCTGGTCTAGTGGAAGGTGTCCCTGCTCATGGCAGGGGGGTTGGAACTAGATGATCTTTAAGGTCCCTTCCAACCCAGACCATTCTATGATTCTATAGTATCTTCTAAAAGGTAAAAGTACTTTTGAAATAATCTCAATTTGTGAAATAATCTCAACTTCCAACATGTTTCACACTCATGACTATTTCTGCAGAATGCTATAGGGAGAAGCAGGAAAGAATGATAAATATGAGGGTTCAAACTCAGAGGGTATAATTCATTATACTTCAGAAGGCACTATGGGAAAACAATAAAGATGAGGCACACGTAACAGTTATAAAACAGGAGTCTGCATCTGTTAACCTTCCCTCAAAATATACGAGGATCTGTATGTACGTTTTGGTGTCAAATAAACTATAGAGATAGTCAAGTATCCAAGGAGAAGAAACAGATCATGATGGCCATTACAGTACCCTCCATCTTAATGTAAAAATGCATCCAATTTCTTTTTTATATGTTCAAAAGCATCTTTCCCCATATAGTCCATACGCCCTTCCTCCCATTTTCTTCGTTCATCTTCTGGACTTGGTTCTTCTGGATGGAAATGAATAGACAGCTCTGAAACAGAACGTGAGACCTCGTTCTGTGGGAAGAAGCAGAACAGTGGGAAAACAGTAATTTGGTTGTTGTCATGTCAGTGCTGTGAAGTTAAACCCTAAATATCAAGCTTATGCTTTGTACAGTCCAAGAATAAACAATGAAACAGTATTCAAACATTCACTCTTGTTTTGATAATGTGATCTCATCTTCCCATGCTTTTACTCCTTGTCATAGCATCTCTGAACACACCAAATGTTTATTTCACTTGTCTTAACTCAAACTCTGGCATACTCAGCAACAACATAATGAGAATATTACAAATAGGGCCTGTTTAGAGCAGAATATCTCCTACAATGAAATGTAACCATGTATCTGCGCAAATTTTATCTTCAACAGGCTTTCATATGAACATAAGTTCCTAGAATTTTTTGTTATTTGTTTTATCTGATTTCCAGTGAGATCAGTATTATTTAGCAGATGTGAGACACATTACCCGTATAAATTAATTCAAAATATTGACACTACTCATTATACTGATAGCTAGCTCATTTTGAATGATGTTCCAAAATGGTGAATGCTGGTTCAAGACCAAGTTATTATAGGTGCACAAATGGAAGACTCATTATTAGTAATAATTTCAACCACAGAAAAGAAAAACTGAGTCCATGATTGAGCAATGCCAGTAAAACCAGAACATCCCAACACATATAACCAGTAATAAAGACAAAATATAACAAGGACTAATCAAAGCAGCTCCAAGGTAAACAACTCATCTTATGTTATAAACAAAACTGAAATCAAACAGAATGGCCTTCCAGCAAAGCCCTCACAAATTCAATATTAAAATGTTTTGGAATAGAACTTAATGGGCAGGAGGCAGTAGCTTGAACTGCCTCAAAGCCCTGGAATATCCATTACCTCTGTCGATTTGGGGCAGATAAGGCACAGGACTTGCACAAGACCTGCACCTGCAGACCAGGTAAGGAATTTCAAACAGCCAACATAACACTATATGCTTAGGCAACTGCATCCTTCCATAGGTACCCCCACTTGGGTCTCACTCTGTACAGGACTTTAAACATGAATAAATACTCTTCAGAGCATGCTTGCTCCCTATATATGCAAATATGCAACAATACTTGGTATTTAATTTTCAGGCTCTGTATACACGTAACTGCAGTAATACATGAAGATTCCTTCCTTTACCTTTGGCCAGCCTTAGCAACAGCTCTGGATGTCATTAACAAGAAGACAGGAATCATCATATTTATAGAAATGAAAAATTTTAGCTGGGGCCCAAACACCCCTGCCTGCACAGGAGCTACAGCTTCACCTACAGTTTTGTTTCTCAATCAAAAGTATTTCACTGTAGTGCTTCTCAATGATAAAAAAGGCCTTATTAGGAAAACAGCTGTGTTGTGTACCTTACAAGATACAACTCCTTGACACTCTGTCAGCCCCATCAGTGCCAAGTCTGGCACTTCTGTCACGGTGTCCACAGATAAATGCAGTGCAAGATCACAAAGGAAAGCCTTTTAGCTTAGGCTCCATGCCTGACTCGCTGTACTTTCACTTTCCACTTGATTGGAAACATCACTTCAGCAGGCAAAAAAAGAACAAAAGTGAACCAAAAAACCCAAGCGGCTTTGCTTGTATTAGTATTGGAGAGCTAAAATTAACACCATGCATTTATTACTTGAGGGCTAGCACAGGAAAATATCAATTTAAAAACTAGACTTTTTAAAAGAAAAGTAGAAAGGGATCATACCCCAGCACTGGAAGCATTTAAAGAATTACATAGCTAAAAGATTAAAGAATTTATTTGCACATTGCATTATAATTAGTTGAGATTTCCCAAAATGATATTGGCAGCAGGCATGCATGCAATTATCAACAGATGTGCAATGCAGGAAGCTACACATACCAGTTCTGAGGTTTCCTGAAATGTAGGTTGAAATACAAGTTGTTCTGAAGGTCTGTCAGGCTCAGAGAGATGGATGTGAGAACCACTTTGTTCAACTTCACATACAGGTTGCTAAAATACAGACACTGTGGTTTCACTAGGAGCATATTTTTTCATAGTTTCCTTATCATGAGAATTCATGCAATACAAATAGATTTCAGTCTTGGGGTAGGGGACAGCAGTGGATCGGAGGAAAAGGAACAAAACACATTATCACCAAGGACAAAATTAATCTCACCCAGCTTTAGCTATCAAAATGGCACTGAATCTAAGCTCCTACTATAATCAATCTAGGGCAGCTCATCTCATCCTAAAATAGGTTCAAGAGTGGCTGTCACTCGTTAGTAACTACAGAAATAGCCTGGAAAGCTACCTTACAGTAGATGTCTACCATTCATGAGGACAAAACTTCAACAAGAAAAATGTCACTTTAAGAAAATAGCTTGCCCTGTAATTCACAAGCTTTATATATATATATATATATGAAAAATGTCACTTTAAGAAAATAGCTTGCCCTATAATTCACAAGCTTTATATATATATATATATGTCTCAAATGAGAACAGAACTATGAATTGCAAAACAGAGGTAAAATAGATTGCCCAGAAAATACTGCCCCAAATATTTGCTTTTGCCAGATATCAAAACATAAATGAGTAAACAGATTCCATTCTGAAGTATATTCCACCAAAAACCGTAACAATCCAAGACTACTGAAGCTAAGCAACAAAGGGTGGAATTACGGTGTTCCTAAGTAAAAAGAGAACCAGATTATTAATATCTAATTAACATGATTTCTGATAAACCAATCCTAGTAATTAAAAAAATAAAATAAGATTAAATTTGAATGACACTACTTTAAGTTCACATTATGATTTTTTTTTTTTTTTTTTTACCTCAAACAAACATCTTGAAAACGTGTCCCTATTTAGTTTGAGCATTTCCAAAGGAGTCAAATGCATGAGGCACACAAGGTAACACATCCTTTGCAAACAAATTATTCTTAAGCAATTTTCCTTTAGCCCCTTTACACTCAGGGTTGGAAAGAAAGGAAGGCAGACTACAGTTTTACTTTATGGAGTAACTATAATCTAAAGGGATGAAGCACTGACTGTTATAAAGAAAACTAGTCCACAAGTCACAGCAGCAGAGGACATTAGAACATTAATTTTATTTTCTCCCAATTGTACCTTGCTGTACTTGTGTTGCCTAAATCATAAAACTTTGGGAAACAGTTTTCTGACTCAACACTTCTAGGGGAGAAAAAAAAAAAAAATCTATAAAGGAGTGCTAGAAAGGATTTTAGTTTTAAATATGTTAATTTGCAAGAGTATTATTCGAAAGATTACTTTGCTAACATCATTTTTTTTTTATATTACATTTTATTAAGTACCTAACAACTTCCAATAAGTAATCTCTGTAAAATTCAGGGCAAACTCTTCCAGCCTCCAGCCACATCATACATGCGTGACTAAGGATTAAAGAAAAAAATACTCTTTAAGACTATTTCTGATGTTAACAAGAAAATTCAATAGTTACAGCTAATTTGAAGATATAATCTACCAGACCAGAAGCATAAACTAAAAAAATCTAATTTTAGTATATCATTTTACTTTGTTACTGCACACAGTAATATACAACGTACTTACAGCTTTGAAAGCGAGTTCCTCAGGTGAACCTGCTGTGGGATGCACTTCATGTGTGTGCTCTGGAAGCACAGGCATTTGCAGCGAATTGGCCACAGGAGGACTGGCCTTTTTCAGTGTAATTTCAGCTCCATTGAAAGTGTGCTAACAAAAACAAGAACATCTCACCACTGAAATACAATTTTACAGGAAATTAATATCTCATTTACAATAGTCTCCCTTTCTTGCAGAGATTTCAGCATTAAAGGAATAAGTTGATAAATTCAAAAAGGTTTGTGGTCCCAGATTCAGAGTTATGTTGCAATTTAGATTTTTGCACTCATGAGTGTGCCAGCATCATCAAGAGGTAAATGTAACAGGTATTTCCATTTTCATGTTACTGTAGCTGAAATATTTATTTACTGCATAATTTCTTAAAAATTAAAACATGTTAAAGTATGAGATCAAAAACTACCCATTCCTTCCTCTGCTTTCCAATTTGTCATGAGGTTAACAAACTAAATTCCTCTCTGGGGCTTTGATGGTAATTATCCAACTGATCTTATGGGACTATGCAATTAGTTCAATGACGGTAATAGTCTAATATTAAAATAATTAAGAAAATATTTACATGTGCATAAAAGTGATCTAAACTGTCATGTCTGGATACAAAATTAAAAACTGTACTTCTACTCATTACTTTATGCTGCTGTCTCTGAGAAATCATCTATTTATCAAGAGATTTTTTTTATTCTATTCATGGAAACCATACATTGCTGCACTTCCTTTGAAGGGAAAAAAAAAAGGCATAAAGAGCTCAGTAAATGCTTGATGACATCCGAGTATTGTACATAACATCCTAAATGTAATTAATACTGCCTTTGCAAATCTGATTTATTTGTTATGACCCTCATAAGACAAGTTATAATGTAATTCTGAAAAGGTAAATTTTACTATAGTTCAAGGGCTAGTTTGATGGTTTAGCTTCAAAAAGTCAAAAACCTGTTTGTTTCATAGTCAGATTATCACCTTCTCTAGCTACTTTGTATCATGCTTTGTGTTTAATTTGCAGAATCTATACACATGTATTCCCGTACAAACTCTTCATCAATTAAGAAGGGGGCTGGGGGAAATCTTTGGAAAGCCAATAGTACTAAAAATCCTTCCTAAACTGCTAGTCTAGATGCTTCTAGAAGCAATCACTGTTACTACCAATCAACAGATACTATGTTTTTTCATGTAATTCCTTCCTCTAGCAAACACATAATTTTCAGAATTGTTCCCATTAACTCCTCATTATTTACCTGGCATTCCTCAGATTCTGGTTCTTGCATCTTTTTAAGTTTTTCTAACAAAGGCAATATACTGGCATTGTATATATTCCACCAGAGGGCAAGAAATGACAGATGATGAAAAGATCCAGAGGTGGTGGTACCATCCTGCATAATTCTCTTTGTTTGAAGGCTGTATTCATAGTTCCAGGGCTTCATCGCTCCCAAGAAGTGAACTACTTTGGCATCTCTACCAAAACTGTAGAGATTAAACATACAGGTCTATACATTAAATATTTTCTTTTTTAGCCTATATAAACTACTAAAGAAGCATGCTTACTCTCACTGGTGAGGTTAATTCCAACATTTGCAACAGCAACACATTCAATATGAGTATATGTATTAATATTTTTTCTATCTTATTAGTTTAAGGCATCTCATTTAGCATACAGAAAACAAAAGGCTGCATTGCCATTTCCTTCCAGCTGCTGATTCTAGCACAAAAGCTCATGAAGGAAAATGACAGGCTCATGCAGTACCATTTCCAGTCCTCCTGCATACTCTCTTCACAAACAAATAAATATGACTTCAAACACTGAATCAACAAAATTCATTATTACTGATCCCATATTAAAAATTAATAATAAATACATAATCCTAGGTTCACCTTCCCATAAGAGTGTTTTGTACAACTGGAACAGTAATTCATGACACATTAAACCCAACTTGCATTCTTCCAGAAAAGTTTCTGTAACTGCATTGTCTGACATCATATAATTACTAGCACAAATTTTGTTTCATGAAAGAACCTAATAAGTGTTGGGGTTTTTTTTAACTTCAAAAAAAAACCCAAACTCAACTGTTTCCCATAGAACTGACTGGAACAGAAGGGAAGTAAAAGTAAAGTTCAAAGTAAAGTTGTCAGAACCTAATGCTAAAGTAATCTACATCTTTTCAAACGGAAGAAAAGCTTCTCTGAAACAGCATATAAGACAATGTAGCCAACTCTGGGACTCTGTCTGTGTCCAGATGCAAGACATTCATACATTTAAGCTTCTACTGCATGATCTTTGCATAACACCATTTCTGACTGCTGTAATTTGTAATCAACAGAATATGCCATTATAATTTTCTCTTATAATAGGATGTTTGTTAAACTACAGACATTTACAGTCATTCAGAAGTGTTACTACTTACTGATTGAAAGCAGGAACATAGGTGTATACAGCACTGCTGCTTAAGTTATAGAGGAAAGGTAAGTGTTTGCCAATATCTGCTGCTGCCCAGTTGCTGAAGAAGCTATTCAACAAGCCTTGATCACCTCCTAAAGAATATATAAAACAGTATTACCATAATTACACATATACTCAAATTTATGTCAAAATTTCACATCCAAGGATGGGGGCAAGACTGGTGTGTTCATGGGACTGCAACTGGGACTTGACAATATGGCCACGTGAGCAGGTTCAAGTGAATGATACCTGATCCACTCCGGTGCAAGTTCAGTGTAAATGGAGACCTATTGTAATATATGAAGAAAGGAGTAGGAAAGGGCTTTGGTCTCCCTCAGAGCAGAAGACTGAAGATCAGCTGTATTTCCCTCTCCTAAACCAAGCAGCAAAATTGAAACTTACTGAGTTGGACGCAGACACCATGTCCCTTCATTGCCCTTTTCTGGGAAGCAATATAAGTCAATAGGTCTTAAGTACAGTGCATGAGGCAAAGGTCTGCACTTAACTTTTTGTGAGGGACCAATTACATAAAGCCCAGAGAACTCCTGCCTTCCTCTATTCTGCCTGATAGCATGGAAGCTATAGAAAAACAGCTTACTGAGAAGGAATCTAATGTCTTGCACTTCATCCCTTATGCTTTGCCCCTTACCATCAAAGCTGCCATGTTCAGCAGCAAACTGGAGTAGTAGGTTGTAAGTTTTCAAAGAAGGTCGGAACACAAATACACCACTATTAAAACAGTCAGGCCAGCCAGAATCAGGAGCTGCTGAAAACTCTTCTCGATCAAACAATTCATCGACATTGCAAAGTACCTTAGAGACAGCAGGAAAAAAGAAAAATTGTTAGAGCAAATGTTTTTCTAGAACTTGAGTAGGTAAATCAGTACCAATGGAGTAAACTGCTAGTTTGGCCAAGCACATAGCTTGCAGAGCATAAAAGCAGGGCCAATGCAAAATACACTAGGGGTGAGAACCTCTGTTTTTAATATAATAAGGTAACATTAATTGTGGTTCTACATGATTTCTCTGATAAAAGTGCAAACCCTGTGAAATGATTTCAGGAACTTTGGAGACCCTCCAGAAGGTCCCTTTAAATATTATAACATACCATGAAAACACACAACTGCCTTCTGTCTTAGCTCACCTTCCCATAGTCCATTATTCCCAGTAACTGCAACAGAGCTGAATGAACGCTGGGAATCCAAATAATTTGAGCTACCAACAGAACTGACTAAAGGGGTAGCAGAAAAACTGTCTCTTGTTACCAGTTTTCTAATGTGAGTTACACTCAGAGGTTTGCTTTGGTTTGATTTTTAAGCTTCACAAGGAAGTGGGAAACACCAATTGGGTTAAGGCCCAGATCACATTTAAAGCCGGTGGAAAGACAGTTGTGCAGGTGCTGAAAGTCCAGACCCCACCCACAAGTGAGCCACTGTGAAAAGCAGAAGAAAAAATTTTTAGGAGAAAGATTACTTCCTTGAATTTAAAACAAAACCAAATATTTGCGTTCTTCCTTTAACTTCAATGTAAAGCAGGAAATCATAAGCCTCCCCACCTCACCCCCTGAGAAGAATAACTTAATTTGGTTTCTAATTCAAATACAATTCTATTAAATTAAAATGCATCCCAGTCTTCCAAACCAAGCCATGTAAGTGCAGGGAAAGGCTGACATGGTTGTCCTTGCCAAAATTATGGTCATTTTAATCTCTATACCTCTAAACACAAAAAAAAAAAAAAAAAAAGTCATTAATGTTTCAGGGCATTTCCCCCCGCCCCCTCCATTTTAAAACTAGTCTGCCTTCCTGACCAGAATAAGTGCAAACAAAAGTATATGAGAGAGATGTATTTTAACCATCTGTTAGAAGCCCATTTGCACAGAGTGTGTTTGTGATATCTTTTGAGGACAGTCCTGGGGCTACTCTCAAAACAAGGTTTATTTCTATGCAGTCAGTAAAATTGTGAGCATTGCCAAAACACGCCAGCCAGAGCTTCTGCAACCTTGTGACCACCAGCAAATATGGTCACTTCACAGGCCAGTGGGCTGCCAGACAAGGAAGCATCCCACACTCAGAGCAGCTCTTTAAGACAGACTCAAACATTTCCATGGCTCTGCTCTACTCACTAAAGTGTCTGCATCCATGAAGACACATTTGCTATAATGAGTAAGGGTCCAACAGTGAAGCTTAGTGAAGGTTACACCCAGTTCTGGCCTCTGCATCAGAGCCAAACGGACTGAGTCAGCACTGTCAAGCGCATCCACCTCGATTACTTCGTCAAACACGCTGCGGAGGACAGACCTACCAGAGCAAGCAGTGGAGAGAAAGAAGGGAATTTAAGAGAGGTTCATCAGAGTTCACTTCTGGCATGAAAACAGTGACACACAGCACAACATTTTTTATGACTATAACAAAGGCTAGATTGATTGGTTAGTATGAGAAGTCAGAAGTCAAAACTCCTTGTAAACAGTCTGCTGAAGTGGCAGCTACCCATCAGGCCAAAAAACCATCACCTCTCCCACTACAGGGTCAGCACATCTCAAAAGCAACAGGTGCTGTACAGAGGAGAAAGCAATCCTTATTTTAGTTACTTGATCTCCTATATAAACACCAACAGACATTAAAGCAGCTTCCATCCTGCACAATTGTCTCTGAAGAAAAGCACCATACTGTGCTCCCTGCACATTGCACAGGATGTGGCATGCACTGGCAGCACAGCCATTTGCACCTGCTGTGCCCAAGTAAATGCAGCTTCAAAACTGCACCTTTGAATAGAGGCCATATATACTTGCTCACTACTACAAATTGTCTCAAATGAGACTTTTAGGATGACATCTCTTTTCTACCCATATCTTTCATGGGAATTTTATAGGCGATACCAAAGTAGGTAATTTTGCTTCAAAACACAAGAAAAGAAGTCTTTCAAACACAGCTTACTTATTAACTGCTAAATCCTGGATGTCATACAAACACAGAAAAACAAAAGCTTGTGCTCATTATCTCGATTTCAGAGCCATTAGCTTTTTCTTGACTGATCTTCAAGGGTCAGGAGTTAACTGGGAAAGAATTAAGAGTAGCTACAGATTTTTAGAAGCATAGTTCAGTGATGTACTTTTTTTAAAATGCTATCCTTGATTAAAAAATATATTATAAAGGTTTTCTCACTCCACTGCCTGTGGATGAAAAAAAATTATGGACTTAGTATCCACCCAGGTGTCAAATGAATACAGTACTGCCTCAGGAAGGTTACAGTGTTCTGACAAAATCTATACTTTAAAAAAACCTGGAAAAATAGATTTCTGTACATCTAATCACAGACAAACACACTGCAAATACTTTCACATGGCATACAGAAATCAAGAGCTTGCACATGTCCTGAGCCATCGCAGAACTAAGAGTTTAAGTAGCTACAGCATCTAATGTTCCTTTAATTAAGCAACACAGTCCTCCAAACAAGGCTCAAGTTCAACAGATCTAATGAGATTTCTGTACATGCAACTCTGTACTGCCTGTAGAATCTCAACTCAAATTGGAAAGTGATTAAAAAAAAAAGAAACAAAAATACATTGATTTCTCATCATGATAGCTGTGCACCAACACTTTAAGAAGATTAGTCACCTGAAACTGAGTCCCTAAGGTTTTTGGAGAGTGCTGATGTCCCAGGTGGTTATGTATCTTGGTCTTTCTAAAAGAGAAACACTTGGGGAAAAAAACAGTAGTGCCTTTATTTTGGCTTAAGAGCAAGACACTGAAACCTTAGTTCCCAAACTTTCAGTTTATGTTCCAAATTATGGGCTTAAGACAATTTCCAGACACAAGCTTTACTTCTGCAAGTGAATTATTTATTAGGCTTAAAATCTTATAAAGGATGTCATTTGGGACTCCTCTCAGAAATCCCTAGCCAAGGGAGAACTTCTAAACATAATGTTGTGAAATCCACAGCAAGCATAGTAAAATCTTTCATGCTGTTGTTTATTCTTCCACATTATCAACCTCCAAAAATACAAGAATCCTTACCTCATCCCGCTGGAAACCTCTGGTGTAATTAGTACTGCCAGTTTTCTAGACGTAGTATGGTTCCTCAACGACTGTCCAAGCACCAGAGCACCTTGACAGTACACATCATCAGTAGCAAGGGTCACAAAGGCTTGATCCATCACTGTGAGCAAATATTCAGAAGAGTCATTTTGCATGTTTAACATAAGCTCTTTTGGCAGGTTCCTACAACCTCCCTCCTCCAGCTAACCAACAGGCTGCAGCTTATAGCAACCTGCAGTTCTTGTGATAAGCTCTTTTATTTTCTAAACTCCCCCAGAAGACACAACTGAAAAGAAAATCCAGCTAATATGATTACAGAATGTACATTTCTGAATTTTGTTATTTTTGTTTGTCTGATCTACATAATAACAGGTATGAAGTTTTTGGACTAGCTTTAAAGAAATAATTCCCCAAGTCTTATTACCTAAACATAATGTCAATCAAAAAAGCCAATCTGTAAATATTTAGATTTTACATTTAACTAACATGTATAGTACAACCCATAAGGAAAATGTTCGTGTATATACAATGCTAAAAACTAAAGAAAAAAAACAGGATGTTAAGGACTAGCCAGAAATGTCCTTTTTTCCATGACCTCACTGAATAAACTTAACAGGCATTCTTCTTTGATCTGTCCTCTCTGTACAGGAGTAACTGGTGCTGGCTGAACAAATGCAGAGAAATAGATTGGTACACCTCCCAGAAGCTAAGGATCCCTCCCTACCTCAGGTAACTCCAAGAAAAGTCCTAATGTTTCTCATTGCCAAGAGACACGTGGGAAAAAAGTTACAATAAAAAAGCAAGCAAGCTACACTCCTGCACAATCGCAGACATAATGTGTATTGTAGAGATACCAGGCCTGTGGCAGCATCACCAGGGGCTGCTTCTTCAGCTCTGCCCTCTGACAGAACCACCATTATCAGGGTTCTCCAGGGAAGAGCCAGAACCCATGATTCAGCAAGATGAACAGCATCCTCAGAGCAGAAAGAAGACCTCAGCTTTCTAGGCTGCAAAACTAACCAGAACAAGATGAGTAGGTCACACAGATGAGGGGAATTCCACTGAGCTCTAGAGAGCCCCAATAAATTCTTATGTTGAACTACTTGTTTAAAACCACCATCATCTCAAGGGACAAGCAATTATGTGAAATAAATTAAAGCAAGCAAGCAATAACAACAACAAAAACACCCTGTCATATAGTTTCCAGGCTCTGTGAGAGACACTAGGAAAGAATCTCACAGAACTAGCTGCAGAGAACCCAACAAATGACCTCACGGCTGCCTCAGCCAGAGGCTGACAAATTGAGTGAGTTCAAACCTCTAACCTAACATCGAGGTATGCAATGAAGTACGGCTGGTGCTAGTGACAAGCTCTCAGGTACTAAGTATTTTCATTTTTCATGTCCCCCAAATCCAGAGCAAAGCACAGACCCACTGGTGTGCTGTCTTCTTCCCTCCTTTTTGCCCTACCTCCCACTCATCTCCAGCCAGACCTGAATTCAAATCAAGCACAAACACTTTATGTTTGCTGACATTGCAACAGATCCCCGCACCTCAGGAGAAACTTGGCCAAAAAACCCTGAATCATCCATCCAAACTTAAAATAGTTTGCAGATCCCTCAGCTAAGGAAATTCCAATAACATTATTAATCATAATTTTCAGAAGCAGCAAATGAGAAAAGGAGCTTTCAAAACTCCCATTATCATAACAGCTCAAGCAAGTTACGGGTGTTCCAGAAAATAGTGAATAAGGAGTTGCTTGCATGGAGCGCTTTAAAAGGACAGTTGTGCAAGTGAACTGCTCCTACTGCAATTTTCCAAAGGTTAAACAAATAAATATAAGTATACGTAAAAATAAAACAAACACTGAAGGCTACTTTAACAATTAATTATTCTCAAAAGACACAAAGAGTCAGCAAATAAAAGCACTTCTGTGTTAGGCAACAGGCAACTTCAGCCAAATAAAGGTAATAAAACAACTACTGAGTGGAACGTGGGGGGTAGGTTAATAAAAAAAGCAAACTGTGAAATGAATGGGAGTTTAAATCTTAAAATAACTGTTTTAAATAACAACCACAAAACCGAACAAACAATCTTCTTATTCCTTCTGCAATTTTTTTTTAGCTACAGGAGCTGAATCTTTACACAAGTAATACATCTAAAAATATACAAGCTACTCATCCAATAGTTCAGCAAGTCGGTATTGCAAATTACCACATCCTACGTACCCTCTCATGCCCTGTACCTCTTGGGCTAAAGCTGTGGCCAGAACCACAAGGAAGCAAACTGACAAACAAACACAGCTTCTAAGAAACCCTTGCTGATATCTCACACAGAAAATAAATCAGTTGTCTCTTCTGAGAATCAGCTGTGGGACACATACTATGGCCTTTAGAGTGAACCATTACAGAGATAATAAATAGAAAAAAAACAAACTATTGACTGAAACCATGCAACACACAAATATTTCTAGTGCAAAGAGAAAAGCACATCCTAGCTACTTTTAAATCATACAGGGCATCACTAATCCATTAATGATACGTAGGGGGTTTAAAATCAAAAGATTGTGTCATTACTTGTTCTTTCATCTAATCCCTGTTTTCAAGGAAGAATTGTTACTTGACTTGCCTCATTTAGAAAGTTCTTTGGAACTCTGTCCCTATAAGTAAATGTTTTACTTTTATAACTAAAAACTAAGGATCAGATTTTCCTATAAACTTATGAAAGTAAACCCTTTACCTGAAAATTCCCATTTAACTGAAATCAAGGACAATGCTACATTAACTGTAGTGTATACATAGGGTTCCACCGACTGACTTTAAGCTGCTAAGGAAGATTTGATCTTTTAAGTTTGAAGGCCAAGGGTATAGGTCTTTAAAATTAATTGAAATTGGATTTTCTTTCTTTTTTTTTTTTTAAGTGTCAAGTGCAGCTTTACACATAGCTTTCAATTCTTTGTGCTAAATGGCAATAGGATTTTTCATGGGAAACACCTAGTGTGAATAGTATTAAGTTTTCAAGCAAATTGTTTTCAAGCTGTGGAACCCTATGGCTGATACTATTGACTCTCAGTGAATTATGAGAAAGTAAGTGTATGATTAAAATCACATTAAACCCATGTTGTATGAGTTTATAAATCTGCTCATTTTTCTTGTCTGGATTACCACACAGCACATGAAGATGCAATTTAGAAATCGTTATCGGCAGCTGCTCAGTTTTAATACCCAAAAACAGTTTCTCAGAACAAACCAAGGATTTTCAAGCTAGTAACTTTGGTGAGTTACTTAAGAGCTCGCTCTGCAGCTACAGATAGCAACACAGAAAAGACAGCAAAAGTGATGTGAATCAATACAAGTCAGGGTGTTTTTATGTGAAACTTGATACAATATTTTAGGCAAAATTACTAACTTCTTACTCATAGCAGTAGTATCTCAGGACCTTTTTCCTGATGAGTAGTACCTCTAACAACACTGCCAGAGGCAAAATTCTTCAACAGGCTTGAAAACCAGTTCTAGGATATCTAAAAGCCTTACTTAGAACCCGCACCAGCTGCACCAGCAAGCAGACAGGGTGGCGTGCACTTTGATGTTCAAAGAAAAAAGAGAGAGGGAATGAACTAACACCAGGTACCCACAGAAAATCAGGAGTGGCTCGTAACAACAAGCACCTGACAGCTTCAAGCCAAGTTTAAATAGGGTGGGGTTTTTTTCCACAACCCACTAGACATAGCTTTTTAAACGTATTTCAGTCTTTCTTCTGACAGACAGAGAAAGGATAAACGTGCTCTAGCTGTGGCTCCTAGAGTAACAACTCAAATTTTCCAGGTTTGCCCACTCCAAAACTGCAATAGGAGACCAGAGACTCATGCTACAAGTTTTCAACGAGCACATTTTAAATAACACATTGTCATCTTATGCATAAATGATAAACAAATAGCTAAAAGCCTTCCACAGGCTGGTTAGGTCCCCAGTATGTACTGCCATTCATACGAACCAATGTTGTATCCCCGATTGCTTAAATTTCTCCCTGGTACCATCTTTTGTCACTTCCCCACTTCAGGACATGCAGGGTGTAGCTTGGACCTGTGCCCCCTGAGCCCCGAGCACCTTTCTGAAATGCTGAGCAACAATGACATAACAGCCCCAACTCACATCACATTTTCTAACAACAATTCTGTTACTCCCTTCCCTAGGCATCCTCCCCCAGAAGCATGCCTTGGTGAAGATGCATTAGACTGCTGCAAAGACACGGCAAGCCATAGGCCTTATCACTTCCCTGACCTAGCACAGCCCTATCAGAAGCACCTGGAACAGAAAGCTCTGTTCCAGTGGACACCCACAAACTGAAAAGCAGTCAGGAAGTATTTTGTTGTACGCGAGTAAAATGAATAACGATGTCAGACAATAACCTATGTGAGACCAGCATCAGAAATTACTATGCAAGTTTTCAGCAAAGAGGCAGTTCTTGCCCCAGTAAAAAACTGACAGCTGGCAATTTTAAACCCTGTGTTTCTTTGGTCTGGGTCCAATAGTAGAAACATTCTCATTCCTGATGTAGATAGCACAACCAACACCTCTACACAGACCTTTTTGTAACAGAATATAAATTGATATTTGATTGCATGCTATATTTCTCTTGGCCTAAGGATGTTCTGCCTGATCCAAAACCAGATTCTCTCTTACCCTTTATTAAAAGAGTACCGAATTTTAGTAGGCAGGATTACAACTGTTATATTGGAAGCTACAGAAAGAGGACTTGTTTCTCATTTTTAATAGCTTTTACTATGCATCTTTCAGTTAAAAAGTTACATTCTGCTTTAAGATCCTACAATTTTGTTATTCAACAGATAGTAAATAATCTCTATGAAAAATCAAATGCAACAATATGTCAATATGCAAATGAGCACAACACACAGCACCCAAAGCTGCTTCCAAGATAGTAATATACCAGTTTGAAAAAAATAAGTAACACTCACTTAAGTAATCTAAAGACAGCACAGAGAACTTTATATATAAAGGTTGATGTTTCCAGCCTTTCCATCCTCCTTCCAAAAAAACACCGTCCCCCAAAAAAACCCCAAAACAAAACCAACCAAACAAAAAAAAAAAACCAAACAACCTCCC